GAGTAGGAACCTATGTTGTCAGATAAAGGTTCTGATAAAGATAATTTATTGTTGGATAGCATCACAAATCTTTATATAAATCAGGAGTTTGTTGTGTCGTAATTTTCGAGGAATTTTCAGCTGTCACCCTAGAATTGATTCACTCGAGTTACAACTTTATAGATGGCGTTTCAGAATCTATTAGTTCACACAAGCACTTCACTCGCTTACCCAATATTTGAAGATGGCTAAGTAATCAATGCACTGAATATCAGAACGTTTAATCCGATCCGCACCTCAAATCGTTCTAAAAAATGTCAGGAAGTAGACGGAAATGGTTTCATTATAGTTCTAAACGACAGGACATATTTTCGTGTGAGTGACTAGTTTGGAGAGAGCCTAAACCTTGCACCGATGAAAGCAAGTATCGTTAAGATCCGGAATAAATTGCCACCAGGTCATCGAACTATCGATTTCGAGAATCATTAGGTACATCGTGTTCTTTTCGTTGCTACTGTACAATCTAGGAATTTCTAAGCTGATAAGAATGGAAGATATGGGACAATGCCATGAAAACTAGACTTCAGCGTGAATACATCTTATATCCGGACGAATAATTAATGAATGTTAACTTCTAGGAATTATTTACGAATTATCATTACATATATTTTTATTGGATAACTATTATGTAACTGTATTATATGTATATTCATATTCCCTCTATCATAAGCTTCCATTTGACCTATTGCCTATGGTTATACGATTTATCATTCTTAACTTATTCCCAATTTATTAGTTACAGTTTCCCACGCTCACAGTCTATCTTGTACGATTCTTACTTTTTTATTTTACGGTACGATGCAGTTTGATTTGCCTGTATGTAAACTATGTATGTCTGAAATGTACTATTCATGCAGTGGAGGCTGAGATTGCTTTTTGGATTCAACAGGCAGGGCTAGGTGTGAAGGGCCGATGAGGATTCAGAGTTGACGCATGGCTTCTAGTACTGTTTTGATGTATCATTGGTTTAGCACAAGAAAAATGTCATATAAATTGATGTCCTAATTGGTGGTTTTGTCACGTAACAATTAACAGAGTAAAGTCATAACATCATATTACTTATTTTGCCGCCATTTTGAAATTAGCTGCTAAAATTACACATAGTTTTATCCGTCTAACAATCAATTACTAATGAATCCCCACGATAACAGAAAGCATATGAAAATTAGTGTCCTTGCCGAAACGAAGTCACAAGCCTCTTTTACAGTTCAAACAAATGACTGATTTTCATGATGGAGTGATGTGGTGATTGAATGAACTAATAATACCTTTGTACTTGTTGAATGCTCGATTTCGAATTCCAAATACAATACATACGTTTGTGCTTGTGTCTCACTTCTTAATTCAATTGTGTTATTTCTGGGACTCTTAGTTCGTGCTATAATTCAAATAATTCAAAACATTATAAGTGATCACTAAAGTATATCATAAATACTTCACTATAGAGGTAAGTACCATTTGGATAATAAACTGAGAGTCCTCTATTGTTGGGTTTTTATGTGGAGGTTATCTAAACTCAAATACTCCTAGATCATCCAGAAATTGCATGAGCAACCATATTTGGTGAAACGAGAAAACATGACGGTCAAATGCAAGAGCTCCATGGAGTTAGGGACTCAATAATCATGACATAATGTCAAAACTCCCTGAATCAGGCCGCGGATATGTGCCAAAAGATAATGAACGGGCGTGGTTTTCCCTTATACGTAAAGTGTGGAAAAGTAACCCACACTGTTTGTTTGGTTGCCGGATAATTCCCGAGCCTCTCACATGCCCGAATCCACTTTTGGCCAATCTTAGCATTTCGGAAGCTAGTCGGCGCATTTTCGAAATTACAGATGGCCCTGTAGTCGTGATTTGACGTTTAACATTGATGGTTTTACAGCAGTTTTGGTCGTGTTACATACATGTAAGGGTACCTGTTGTGTGTCCGATGAAAATGTGGATCAATTACATGCTTAACCGTGATCGGGCACTACCTACAACCAGAAAATGAAGTTCTCAGAGTAAGAGAATCACAGAGATCTGTTAGTTTTTTAAGTCGTTTAGAGCAGGAATTTGACAAGGTAGCCTCTTTTCTGGGGGTTCTGGTGATCTCCAAATCCGATCGATAAATGCACCCAGTTTTCTGCGGGGTTATTTGGTAATGAGACGAGTTCTACTTGCGTCTTTTGAGGAAATACTGTATAAAGAGGCCTTCGCTAAAAGTTCGTTGACTGATGAACTCCCTCATATGCAACAACATTTCTGTTTCTGAGATTTTTTCGGAGTTAGATATTGAGGAATAATTGGTCCAACCGTTATCGACTGGCTGGGTTTCCATATTTAAAGACAGCCTTTATGAGTGTATTGTAAGGTTCGAAAGCATCACTAATAACTATACTAGATCTAACCTTTTGGTATTTCGAATTATTTGAATTGTAGTATGAACTAAGAATCCCCGAAATTATGCAATTAAATCAATAAGTACTAGATGAGCACAAACGAATGTATTGTATTTAAAAATCGAAATCAAGCAATCAAGAAGTACAAAAGAATCATTATTTCATTCAAACACCACATCCGCCTCAGCTTAAATTGGTGTCTAGGTGTCTGTAATTGATTGTACATCTTCTCGAGTTCATCCTGTGTCTGTCCAACATTGTATTGGATAAGAACTCTGTAGTATCTAGAATGTGCTCATTAGTATTGGAATTAACAAACGAAATCGGAACAGACTCATCGGGAATTGTATACAATCAGCATGTTGGTTTTGTACTGGAATCATTAATATCTGGAATTCGAACCATAGATTTTCCAACATTATCCTCCACCACGAAATAACGTTGGATCTTTATATCCCCAAGTTATGAATAATGTTGCTTCATTTAAGACATGTTTCTCACATTGTTTAGAGTAAGCATTAGAACTGTTTTTGTGTTAAGGATAAACAGCATTTGATATGAAATCATCTGAATTGTAATCGAAATCGAGGTCATTTGGTACTCGTGCTTCGCATTGAACAAGTTTTTCACAAAGATCAAATGCATTATGAGGATAGGCAATATATGATATGACATCAGGATTTGATTCTTCTGGAATATTTTCATGAAATTTAATAAGAATTTCATCGCAGAGTAAAGGATCATTAGAAATATCAGCATCTATCCAAACCACATCAGGTTTTCCATCATGATTATGTTCACTCAACATATTTTCCTAAGATTTGTTAGAAATTTCGTCAGAAATATGTGAAACATCAGAAAAGTCATACCTGGTACAATAACATGAGAATTCTGATAAATGGATTGATTAGAAACCGTTGTCTCACAAGGATTCTGAGTTTCATTTAACTCCGAACTACTATATGACTCTACACTGTCTTTTAAAATCGTCGATAAAGATAAATGATCATTATGAATAATCGACTCAGTACAATCAGAATTACAAGACTTGATATTAGTTGCAGTAAGATGAGCATCGGTATTACAGACTGACTGAGTATGTCCAATATCACCACATTCAAAGCACTTAGAATTACGAAATTTACATGAATTAAAAGAGTGGAGTTTGCCGCAGGACAAACATTGACCAAACTTGTCCCCATCTTCATGAAATGCATTGCACCTCCTCAGTGAATAATGTGCATAGCTCTGCGTATGCACTGGGTTGGGATTACGTAGTAATGTAGTGGTGTTTTTTATATTTTCATGAATCATTTTACGAGATCTTCCTCCTTTACCGCATTCGAAATTTGTATAACTAACATAATCTAGCAGTAGTTCCTTGAGAGCTGTTTAAGGAAGCGAAATGAGCTTTTCAGGCATAGCCAGAGTTTTTAATAAGCTATATGCTTCTTTTCCAGTAAATGTGAGGAAGTGTGCCACAATATTAACATCATCATCTTCCTTGGTCATAGCCCAGAATTCCAACCTTTCCAAATAATCCTCAAAAGCTTTAGAAGTTGAATGAATATCAGACTTTTCGATCCCAGGCTCCAACGCGACGCCACCATGGTAGTTCGAATTATTTGAACTTTAGTATGAACTAAGAATCCCCGAAATTATGCAACTGAATCAAGAAGTACTAGATGAGCACAAACGAAAGTATTGTATTTAGAAATCGAAATTAAGTATTCAACAAGTACAAAGGTATCATTAGTTCATTCAAACACCACAAACCTATCTGTAGAAACTTTGTGGTCATGCCTTCGCTACTATGAGAAATTGTGCACATGGGTCCTTTACGTCATATTTAACAGGACCACGAATCTTTATTATCAGGCCAGAATGGCACGAATGAATATAGGAGGCGCAAGATTCCTCATTTTTGATAGTTTAGGTACTTGTTCCAACGTTATGTAGACAAAATGGATAAATAGACCGAAAACCCCAAGGGTAAAAAAATAATATCGCGATATGTGAAATTGAAAAGGGATGTATAATGTCACAACAAGGAACAAACTTGCAGTTCATCGTTTGATATAACCTGTCATTTCGACTTCACAATTAAGATCCCACAAATATTCAGGGTTTGACAACACAAGATACGAATTAGGCCGAATCATAAGTCAGGGATGAATGAGTTGGAAGATATATTTGGAGAGTAATCGAAATGTTGAAAACCACTCTATCTAACCTGGCTAGTTGTTGAGAGGGATGAGTAGAACGGCGTACATAATTGTAATCTGGTATGAATTCGTTGTCGAGCGCCCTTATTTGGGGTGTCCTCAGTAAAACTGATGAAGTCAGAATCAATGTCAAAGACTTACACAGCTTTTTACTTTGAGGATTGATTTACCGCTACAAGCTAGACTACAACCGATCAACTTCACTGGAAACCGATAATTGTTATGTAGCACAAAAAAGGTCAAAAAACTGGCTTGCACTTATCAGCTCATCACAAGTATACTTCACTTGTCTTCTTAGTGTTTACTCAATCGATTGAATATTGAATATGACATGACAACGGAGTAACTTGTCATGACCGCGGTGTTTGGTCATTTGTTTTTAGACTGCCTCAATGTTCGCTTAAATATTCTTCATTTTACCTTGACTTCTTCTCTCTACTCTGCCGCCCAATTTTCAAGCAGTTTCACATGTAATGAACATTACATGTGAGTCAAAAATGTGCTCCCATTTTAATTTTAACTCAACTGTAGTTCTAAGTCAATTAGGCTGATTAGTATCAACTGTCTATCGAACCATTTGCCTAAAAACCTATAAACGCTGTTCACACAATCCGTCTACCAATTTGAGGAACCTTCAAAATGGTCAAAACCAATGTCATTTGTTAAAGTGATATACCTATCATTATCTGAAACTTGGTGAGGGAAACTATGATTCTTATTCGTGGGAATCGTTTTGTGAGACGTCTTTCACTTTATCGCTGCAAGTTATGTATGACAATATACGTGGTGGTAGCAGTTTTCTTCATCATAGCCAGTTTGCCGAATCTTCCGCCTCGGGTCGTTTACACTCATCCTGATGAACTTACTGATAAGGAGCTCTGTAGCCAACCAGGAAGCAAAGGTATTTTTGTAACAGTTAATTTATCACTTACTAGTCTGTTGCCCGAAAAGTGAAGAGCTTGATCTAACCCAATATAGCTCAGATACTCCCACAGATTTTCTGAACTTGTTATATGAAGCTCAGCATGTTTGTGAGGGGAGTTGGAAACCGCAATGTGTGTCTTCACAAAAAATAGCTGTCATTATACCCTATAGGGAACGAGAAAAGCACCTTAAGTTATTATTGCCAAGACTACATGCTTTGTTGCTACGACAAAATATGCCGTATTATGTTTTTGTGATTGAGCAGGTAAGGAGTTTATGTTGATAGTATAATTTGTAAAGGTTTTGATTTATTCTTATCATTCCATCATCTGTTTAACATACTTGTGGAATTGAGACCACTTCAGTTTAAAAAATTGATGGAACTGACGTAGTCGCTGAGTAGTTTATTTACTAGTGACCCGAGCTATTCCTGTTTCTTTGTCGTTCGATGATGACAGTTGTTTAATGGAACAGTATAACGGTTTAACACTAATTACTTGAATCCCCAACATTGTGTTGATCGAATCTTTCTCAAAGATATCAGGCTAACTTTACAGGACAGAAATTCGTGGATCATTCATAACTAATAAGTCACTGTACAGAATGTATACTAAGGTTTGCAATAGAACATATGTTAATTAGTCTCACTATTAGTCAGATAAATATAATATTTGGTCACTACGTGCACGCCACTTACATTTAAATGCATACCACTAATTTCTGACTAAATATAGCGTATTTCATGCATCAGAGTAATATATGAAAAGTTATAACTACTGCTTATTCCTCGCAATTACAAATTTTAAGTGTAAGGAGGCTCGTTGTCCCACCTAGAGACGTCCAACTTTGCGGGATGAATTGGGTCGTGTCACCAAGCTTGATCAAAAACTATCTCTCCTTCTTGAATAATTAAAAAATATGAAAGTCAGGGATTCGTTTTGAGAAGAATTAGCCATGCGCCTAGTCTATCTTAGAAAAACGGTTTATCTTGGATAAGCTTGGAATGGTATCCAGCTGGCTTTAAGCACAATTACAAAATAAACCTTTTGACTGACTTAGTGTCTGAAATAATACTCTTTAACCATCTGATTCTAAAACAACTCTTGTAAAAAGCAAAACATGAATAATCAGGATGATTTTAGACCTAGAAACAAATGAACCCAACAAATATTTGCTTAACATCAGGTTGTAGATCACGGATGTAATTACCGATGCTAAACTACTGTCGAAGTTCTCAAACCTCGGGACAGAATTGGACTCCATTGACCGAGAGGTTTTGTGGCAGTGTTTTTCACAGGAAGGTGTTCTAAAGAAGTACAGAAGCTCTCAAATGGTTCTGCATTTGACGCCAATTTAGGAGGGCTTTTATCAGGGTCGCCTACCGTCCCACTTCTGATCCAATTTCTTCGCAGATGCATCCAAAGAAATGACACCTTTCAATTTTAAGAAGTTAGTCAAATCGGGTGATTCACCTGTTAGTTTTTCATACTCAGACGACATGTTTTTATTCAGTAAAAACACTGGGTTTTAATACTAACATGCATAAGTATGGTAATTAGGAGTATTTGAATTATAGCATGAACTAAAAATCATAGAAATAGCGCAACTGGATCAAGAAGTACTGGATAAATACAAACGAATGTACTGCATTTGGAATTCAAAATCAAGCATTCAACAAGTGTAAAGGAATCATTAGTTCATTCAAACACCACAATAAGATACCTTTAGTCCCTTTAAATCAAAAATATTGCTCTGGGACTGGTCTGTGTTAGTGTCTAAACTTTGATATCTTGGTATCCTCATCATTCCAGGTGGATTATTAACTAATAAAATCTTTGGATGGATAGTATTCATTTCTAAATTATTTTCAAACTGGTCTTATTATCTAGGAAATTTATCTAGTTTTGCTATATACATACATATTTTAGTTTTTTAAACTGACTGATTATTTTTTTCTAAGGCTGGAACCACTCCTTTCAATCGTGGACTACTACTTAATGTTGGAGTTTTGCATGCACTGGATATTGATCCAGATATTAATTGTTTTATCTTTCATGATGTTGATCTTTTACCTGAGAAAAGTGAAAATTTTTATATTTGTGATACAGAATTAAGACATTTATCACCTGCTGTTGATGACTTCCGATATCATCCACCATTTGTAAACTTTGCAGGAGGTGTTGCTGCTATGTCTAAAGAGAATATTTTCAAGGTGAGAAAAAAAGACGTTATGTAATGTAATAAAAATTTGGAAACATTCTAAAATATTTTGTTTCTATCCCCAAGTATTATATTTTACTAAAGTATGCAAATAAATGGTTTTTAACTTTCTAGGAAAACACCTCAAATAGATGTACCTTTTAAGAACTAAATTAAGAATTCATTTACAATGTTTGTAATAGTTTCTTGTCCTTTAATTAATCAACAAAATGAAAACTGGTTCAGTGTTAAGACTACTATAGTTTGGTTTATTTATGAAGTCTTTTAAAGATAAGGCATAATATATGATGCCTAATAAGTGTGAAAGAGTAATTCAAATGCAAGAGATAAGTTCTTAGTTAGTGATTGTTTAGTTTCTCTATATATCTTCTAAATAACTTCTAGATATGTTGAATGAAACTATCTTGTCGTGTACCACTTGAAATTTTACAAAAGTGTACTACTACAAAAATTGCTAATTGGAGTACAATTATCAGTATAGTTCTCTAATATCAATTTACCATGTTGTTGTTTTTAGACACAATAACTATATATTCCATTTTACAGTTGTTTATATTCGTAGCACTCAGTAATCTTTCTATTTCATCTTCAATGTTAATACTTAGCTTAGCTGATATACATCTGGTATCCAGTAAAAAGTCTGACAATCATCTTTGAGAAGATAATTAATTTGACAGAGCAAGAGTTACTGTAAACGAATTTCATCAGAGCTCATATTCAAGCATACAAATCCGGTGTATCACAATTTAATATCCTTAAGTAGGAATTTAATGTTTAATAGCGTAAATTGACTAAATTCTTTTATAAATTCTTAAGCTGTTATTTATTAAGTTAATCATGTATTCTCAAAAATGTTGACTCTGACGACTGTGATGTGTGCTACTGATGTCAACAGTCATAAGTAGTATGTACCATCAGTCAAAAGTGAAATACCTGCAGGTAGAAGGTTAAGAGGATCAAAGAAAAGAGAACGAGAACAAAGAATGATTGGTGTGGAAACGAAAGAACAGTGAAGTCTGAGACAAATGACTGACATTTTGTAAATGAAGTATTTACTGTATGTTTCTCAGATTTTACTGAGAGATTCCGTAATTTTGTGTTTGAATACATTCGATTGTCCCCACTTGTGTTCTCGTTCTCTTCACTGAACATTAATCGTTAAGCTTATATTATATAAGTTTACTTTAATGTATATTCGATTTCTTTTGCCCACTGCTTTTTTATATAAGTACTATTTTTAATGATATTGAGAACTATGAAAACTTCGACTATTACCGATTCGTGTTTTACCTTTTATCAGGGGAAATTCGGATTTAATGTATCCGTTAAATTATACTCATTATATGTTTGATGCTGGAAATAAACACAAAAGCGTTATCCAATATGATATGAGTAAAAATGATGATTTGTTTATTAGCCTTTATGAATGTTTTCTTTAACTCACTGGAAATCAACCTTTTAATCATTTAGTGGTAATTGAAGTTTTAGCGCGTACATATCATTTGTTAGGTAAAATAAGTCATATATATATTGATTGTTGGGATCTTCCTATTATTGTTTAGGATTATAATTGATCAGTCTCTCTTGGAATATGTGAGTCCTGTGTAGATTACATCGACAGTGAGTTGCAGTGAGATGCAGTAATTATCTGGTGTCTGTAGATATATGGATTACGTAAGGAGTTTAAAGCGAACAGTACTGAATTAGAGTTTCATTGTGAATACTAGTTCTATGATGCAGGTGTGCCCAACCAACAAATCCAAAATAAAACAAAATGCATGGCCTGGATTCCACTACTAACCGCTATACACTTCTGTTCAAAAAAATTCAGCTGTCCTCAGTTTTTCGATAAAAACAATAATTGATCATCTTCAAACAAAATCATTTCGGCTTATTTTTAAACAGTTGAGAGAAGTCCCAAGATCTAATTCAATTCACTTAGAAGTCAAGTTAGTTTGATCATACCAAAACTTGACTGATCGAATATAATCAACATTACCTACTCACTTATTTACTTACGCCTGTTATTCCCAATGGAGCATATGCCGCCGACTAGTATTCTCCAACCCACTCTGTCCTGGACCTTCCTTTCTAGTTCTGTCCAATTTTTGTTCATTCTTCTCATATCTGTCCCCGTTTCTCGGTGAAATGTGTTCTTTGGTCTTCCACTTCTCCTTTGGCCTTGAGGATTTCATGTGAGGGCTTGTCTTGTGACGCAGTCGGGTACTTTCTTCAATATGTATCCTATTCACTTCCATCACTTTTTCCTGATTTCTTCCTCAACCAGGATCTGGTTTGTTCTCTCTCCCACAGTAGATTGTTGCTGATAGTTTCCAGCCAATGGATCCAAAGTATTTTGTGTCGATAACTATTAATAAAAATTTGTAGTTTCTGGATGATGACTTTCATATTTCTCAAAGTTTTCGTAAAACTCTCATGATATTTCTATTGAAAATTCTGACTTTGGTATTGTTTGACAATTGTTTTGAGTTTCAAATGTTCTTCCATTGTAAATATACTGTTCTTTCTTTACCAATCCACACCTTCACATCTGTATCAGATCCATCATGTTCATCAATGATGTTGCCCAGATATGTAAAAGTTTTTACATCTTCCAAATCTTTTCCATCAAATGTGTTTTGATTGTTGCATACTATATTGTATTAAAGAATCCTAATTCTCCCTTTCTGTATATTGAAACATTAAGAATTAAATAAATATATCATTGATTGTTACTAATTAACTAGTCAGTATTGAATATACTTTTAATTATCAGTAATTATCGTTATGTTTGAAGTGATGTTTCCTTTCCCTCCCCCTTTTTTTTAATTTTAATTTTTTTATTTTTCAAATCAATAGATCAATGGATTTCCAACACGTCATTGGGGTTGGGGTAGTGAAGATGATGAATTTTCAGCACGTGGTTTAATTTATAATTTAAAATTAACTAGACCACCAGAATTTATTGGACGTTATAAAACACCAAGACATAAAAAACATTCTATATCTATAAACCATCAAAGTGAATTTATTCAATTTCGTAATTATTTACATGATGGTTTATCTATTTTAATACAAAAAAATTTTTATCAAACATGGAAATTAGAATCTGTTCATAAAAAAATCAATAAAATTGTATTCAATCATAATAATAATAATATTGAAACATTTAAAATTCCTTCATTTTTAAATGAATGTACGCGCCAAAATATTTTTAAACAATTAAATATTACTAATGATTCTTCTATTGAAATTATTCATAATTTAAAACAAATTTCATTAGATAATATTCAATTATTAAATTCTTTTTCACGTGATGATTTATTTATACATTTTATATTTGATCCAATAGATTTATATAAACAATATAAAAGTTTAATAAAACCTAAAGGTAATCATACTGATGAATCTTTATGGTGGTTTCTACATTTCTATGGATGGATATAATATATATCTGCTATAGGATATATATATATACTTTTTGCTTGTACCATATATATTTTGATTACGTAACAGATAAATCACCTTCAAAATGGAGTTGTAGTTTGCAGTTAACAACCGAAGCAAACTCTCGATTTATATATATATATATATATATATATATATATATATATATATATATATATATATATATATATATAGATGTAGACATTTTGCTTGTACCATACTTATTTTGATTATTTCCCCCACCCCCCAAAAAAACAAAAAAGAAATATATATATATATATATATATATATATATATATATATATATATATACGAAAATCAATAAGATGGAAAATAGTAGTTGGGTATATCTTGTACAAAGATCTTATTGTTCCTTTATATTATTCTTATTTTATTTACAAATAATTAACTTTATGCGTACATATTCTTTATATCCATGTATATAATAATAATAATAATTATTATTATTATTATTATTATTATAATTTTCAAACTGTATACCGGTGGTTTTGTCTATATTGAATAATTAGCAAAGAAGAAGTTCTAATGTGATATACAATGTATGTTAAGTATAAGTGTATATTTATGTTTATTCGTTAGATGACTCCTTTTTTTCTTCTTTATTATTTTGATGTAAATTATATATAAAGAATAGAATATAAATGGTTTGTAAAGTGTATGTCTCTTTTGTTTGTTTGTTTGTTTGTTGCTTACTTATTTCATTTTGATTTGTTGAACTGGTTTTATTGTTCAATTCTGATAATGATAAAATAACTTTCTATTCACAAATTCAGTCACTTACTTTAAAATGAGAAGAATGTTTGGTCGATTGTAAGGGTATATCATTTTTCCACTATCTAGTATGTTCACTATACCAGGTCATGATGTTTAGTAACCATTGTAATTTGAGTGTTGGTTGAAAAATTAAAAGTTTTGATACGTTAGTTGTGGAGATTAGTTCAATTATGAAATGAATCATTGAAAGCACTGACTATCCCATTTTTAGTTCAATCTACACCCACGAGCTAGTTAAGGATTAGAACGAGGACATACAGTTATCATGGAAATCACATTTCTCTAAACCACTAGAATAAAATGCAATGGTTCAGATTTCCAACTTCATTTAAATTGTGGTTTGGTTCAATTGTCATCCAGTATCATATGTAAAGCCCGCCTTCTTTTAAATACATTTGAATTTCACCAGTCATGTCGTCTTAGTAAAAAGTAAAGTTTGCCATGTTATTAGTTACCTAAAATTCAAACAAGCTTAAAAGATTTAGTTCAATAAAGAGTACGAAATCCCTGTAAAGACGCAATAAGAAAAGGAATACTAAAGAAACTACTCCCTAAGTTTATTATAGCTGTTTGGAAAATATGACATAGTGGACTACCATACTAATAACTTTTGAGCGTTTGATCCTATTTTACCTATCCAGGTAGTCAGTAGTTTTTCCTGAACAATATATCTAGCGGATAATACACTGATCAACATAGTACTGTATAATTACCCTCTGTGCTTTCAAGTGCATTCTGTTTACTTACTAATAAGTTCCCCTTTTTCATTTATCACGAAATTTAGCAGATAACTTATGCGTAATACGTAAGAAAACGAAAACAACAATATTCACGAAATACTATTAATTCAGCGTATCTTGTTTCTTTTTTTTCGGATTAATGCAATGTAATAAGTTTAGTAATTTCCAATTATTGAAGTTATGAAAGCACTAGGCGGCCGCTTTGTCCTAGTACGGAATACCTCAATGGTGCGCATCTACAATCTCGCACGCAAGACTTGAACCCAGATTCTTCAGTTTCGCGCTCGAATGTTTAACCTACAAACCACTGGGCCTGTATTCACTGTTGTACAAGCCTATCCTCAATAGACCCGCAATATTGCCTTATCATCTCATATAACAGAATGAAACTAACATGCAGTTCTTCCATGCCTTCAGTGGTGTCTGACTCAAATCGATTCATGATTTCAATTAAATTCCACCATCTCGGCAATTACATACTGACTATTAATACAATTTTAAATTTGAGAAAAATGTCAAAAAGCACTAATCATAAACAAACAGTTCGTTTAGAATGTAAAAGAGGTTAGGAATCCCATTTTAACAAAGTTTTTATGGTTGTTTATAACAGTCTAATAATATCTACAATGTTATTTAGCATTATAATAGTGACCTAGGAAGTCACGAATATAATCGATTGAAGAAAAAGGGTCAAAATACTAGTTTTGCTTCTGTGACCAGGGCAAGTAAAGGTTAATTACTGACTTTTTTGATATAAAGTCAAGTTTAAGCCAGCTAATGTTTATGGCTTCGGCCAAAATTCATAAAATCAAATTGAACGGTCTGTTAATGACTTTAGATGCATTCATAAAGTCAATATTGCACCTTGTGTACAACAGATGTCTTCTTATTGAGCTACAAATGCTGTTTTGTCCTGAAAGGCGTATATTCCTGGTAATATGCTCAACAAATCAAATAGAAGTCTATCTTTTCTGTCTTTCAAATGTACATGCTTTTAGATGTGGATGTCAATTGATATTCATAATGGGAGGTCACATATAATCGGTACTTATCTACTTTTGTTTATCTTACTGAATATAGATTCCCATCATATAGAACTGATTTCGTAGAATAAAATTTGATTTTCGAATTCCGCTTATTTTTTGATCATTTTTACTTATGGTTCAATCACCTTTGAATGTCAGTTATTTTGGGGGTTTATAAACTTCCGTTTTGTTTACATATTAAGTATTATATTAGTATCAGAATGGATTTTGCGGAGATTGTAGTAATTTCAATAGTTGAGATCATGAGTCACTTGAAGCTAGACCACCGAAGGAAAGCCGTTTCGTCTTAGGTCCTGGGTTCGAATTCCTCGAGGCAGGGTCATGTATGCGCACTGACTAGGAGTCTTACAATAAGGGGAAACGGCCGTCCAGTGTTTCCAGGTTTTCGATGGTGGTCTAGCTTCAACTGACTCATTATCTCAATTATTAAAAGTATTATATTTCTTTAAAAATGATTCAGTGTATTCATTTTCTCTGAGATAATTGTTTATCACAGTACACTATTATTGTAATATTAGTTCAGGAATATAATTTATCATCAAATAGTTTTCCTTTCTCTATTCTAATTGACCAATATTCTATTATTGTACTAGATAACTTCATTAATGTTTACATAATAACTTTGAATGATTACTTAAGTTGATGTTTGTTTATTGTTTTAATGGATATATTACATATCAACAATAGGTTTTTTCGCAAATTGAATTATAAAAAAGATAAGGAGGGAACTATGCCAAATACAGAGTTGTTTGAATGATCAAAAAATTGTTTTATAATGATTGTCATCGTCACTAACTGACTGAATGATACATTGTCATATCTATAATCTACTCACTATTCTTATCATTTTCAAATTACTTATGAACAAATTAATGTTGGTCAATTAATAGTTATAGATTCAGTTGGTATTGTTTGTTTGAATCTTTCCAGTGATGTTTAGGACTGTTAGCTTCAAATGCCATCACGTTATCCACTAAGCTACTGAGTTCTGATAGCCACTTGGTTGTGCAATGAGGTGAAGTTTAAATTCACTTTGTATTGCTTGTTCGAATCCTCCCATTAATGTTTAGGACTACAATTGATCAGTCTCTCTCTTACTGGCATATGTGTATATTGTGTGGATTGTCTCGATATTGCCTTAATTCACAAGCACTATGAACAAAGATGGATAGATACTAAAAGCGGAATCCAGGATGAGCGTTTCATCCTATTTGGGAATAGTCAGTTGGATGTACCTGCATCTCAGAGAAGATTTTTACTCCACGACTCGAACCCGGTACCGTTCACTTCAAATGTCATCGCTTTATCCACTGACCGTCCTGGATTCTACTGCTAGCCATCATCCATCTTTACTTATAAAGCTTATGACTTAAGGCAATAGTAAGGCAATATGCACATATGCCAATAAGAGACTGATCAATCGCAGTCCTAAACATTAATGGGAGGATTCAAACAAGCAATACAAAATGAATTGAAACTTTACTCCATTGCACAACCAAGTGGCTATCAGAACTCAGTAGCTAAGTGAATAACGTGATGGTATTTGAAGCCAACGTTACTGGGTTCGAGTCGTGGAATGAACATCAACTCTTAGATGCAGGTACATCCAGATAACGAGTCCCAAATAAGACTAAACGCGCATCCTGGATTCCACCGCTAGCCACTAACCATCTTTGTCTATAATTATCAGATATATTTAGTTTTGAACAAAATCATTTCTAAAAAATATGTAAATGTCCTTAACCTGTTGCGATGTCTGATTATACTTTATTATATTCAATTTCTAGGACAGTCTCTCCCATTGATTCCTAAATAAATTAATGGAATTATAACATAAAAGGTTGTTTGCAATAACAATTACGTAATGAGAATAATAATAATAAAATATTGTGTGTGTGCCTTGTAAAATTAATAAGTTAGCAGTGGATTGTACTATGAATGAAGTAAGGTGATTAAAATATTTTTGCTACGCTAATCATTGGTAATAGATGTGGTTAAAAATGAAGTGATATTAGAAAAAATTATGAATAAAATAATGAGGAGCAAGGTATATGGGATGTAGACAGCTCATGCTTTCAATTTGGATGCACAAACATATCCCAGTATCGTTTTAAATGGGTGAAGGGAAGTTAGTTGAAAGTTCCATACTTTAACATCTAATTGACTCTAATCATTTTACCAATTCACAGGTTAATTTTAAGGTCATTTGTACAATTCATCCAAAACTACCTAGTTTTTTTTTCTACTTAACTCCTTAAAACAGTAGAAGCTCTTGCCATCCATGAGTTGAAGCCAGATATGTACGTACAAAAGAAGTATGTCTTATCCTTGTCGTTACCATGGTCACCAGTTATTATTATTATTATTCATACTTGAAAGTGTATCCCTTTCCCTTAAATTATGTTTCATCTTCTCATGATTTTATTCATAATCATTTCTAATATCATTTCGTTTCATTTAACCCCATCTATTACCTTTATTTGGTGTAGCAAAAACATTTTAGTCATCTTATTTCATTCATATTATAATCTGTTGCTAACTTATTA